CAACGTTGACGTAAGATTTCTGGGTTGCCAGTAGGGGAGCGACATAATGCGTTTGCAACCCAACGTATAGTACTTTGGAGTCGTTTGCGAATAATTGACTATAAATGGCGCAACTTTCCTCTCTCGTATTCGGCTTGAACATGCGCAGCAGCTGAAGCGCAACTTCGTCGTCATCGCTCATGTGGCGACGGCTCGTCATACGCTCACTAGTTCACCTGCTCTCACGTTGAGGCTGTATTAACAACTCACTGTTCAAGCAGCCATTCCTTGCTACATTCCAGAACGTTCACAAATCTATCAGCACCCTGCTGAGCATGATTGTGATCTGCTTACTTCTACGATGGCCTTTCAGTTTTCTGCGCATGAATTCTAGTAGTCTTTTTTAGCTGCGGAAGCCATCACAATGAATTTGCCGATCAACTCTGAGCAATCCTAGTTTTTTAATGAATAAACTTCTGTATGATTTTCTTCTTTTCTTTCTAAGAGGTTATTGTTTGCAAAATGATTCATAGCTAAGAATAAAGCAACCGCTTTATGAAGCGTGTGTCTGTTTTATACATTATTTATTATTAAATACTTGGGGGAAAAGACAAGCAGTTATTACTGGCATAGTATTATTGCCTGAACTTACTTCTGCTTTTAGATAAGCCTCACATTAAGCTCACAGACTCAACTTATTTAGACAACAATAACTGCTATATAACTTGTCTTTTCGGCATGAATTCCTTGGCATCTGCTGTGAAGGCACAGCAGATTGCTAAATGGTAGCTGCAAATAAGCTAAAAATTTCTTTGCCTACAGACTGAAAAACCTAATGAAGTCTTTCAAATGATAAACATTCATACAAAGCCATCATTCATATAGTTTTTGGTAAATGACTGCTGTTTGATTGCAAAGCATATATTGATTTTGTAAGTGACTGAATTGATCACACATTCCCAGGTTCAAGTCAGGTGCATAAATGACTGTAAATAATATTTTATAATCAAAACTAAATAGCTTTCATTTGCACCATTTATTCAGCCACTAGAATACTGTGTGTCTCTGTAGCTGTAGTACTTATGCTTGCAGAAGTGAATTTCATGTATATTGGAGAGCTGGGTTCCTAAAAACCTGCAAAGCTAATTTTTATTACCTGTAACTGTGAAGTAGTTGCTAAAATTATATTGCAATCAGTTCCTTCAATATGTTTATACTTGAGGATACTATTCTAAATAAGCAAATAAATGCAATTTAATTAAAGTCAGCTTCATTTCAAATAAATAAAATAAAAGGAACAGGGGTAATACCCACTTTCATGCTTCTCTTACGATTTCTGTGCATTGCCTGAGAACACATATCAATATCAGTGGGAACTGGCTTATCAGGGTGCTTGCATTAGTGCATGTGGCAATGAAATTGTAAACTTGATCATGGGCTCATATTTAATGTCCTTTACTTGTAGAGTTGTAGAGTTTACTTGTACCCACAACGCCATCGCAATCGGCGATGGCGTAGTGGTTAGAGCATCCGCCTCACATGCAAAAGGTCCACGGTTCAAATCCCGGTGCCACGCAGTTCCCAACCAGATAAAAAAATAAAATCCGCGTGGTGATGAAACTGCATTAAGAGGCCTGGGGTGCGGCCTCACCGGTAACCGCCACCGGAAACACACTGCCTCACCAGAGAGGGATTGGCCACCCTGGTGGAGTGTGTGGCCACTACCTTCCACATGCATACGTCAAATAACTCACGGCCCTCAGTCTCTAGCACCTGCGAAGCAACTGACCACGGCGGCGGTCAGATCTGCAACGCAGCAGAGGGTGCTAAGAATCTGTGGATCCGGACAGGCCGCCATTGGAACCTGAACTTGGCAACGTTTAACGCTAGAACCTTATCTAGTGAGGGAAGTCTAGCTGGACTATTCGATGAGCTAGAGGGCTCAGTGAGGTTAGGAGGACAGATGAGGCCTATACGGTGCTACAGACATGGCACGTCCTTTGCTATCGGAGCTTAGCTGACAGAAGAGAACTGGGAGGGCGGTTCTTAATTCACAAAAACATAGCTGGTAGCATGGAGGAATACTATAGCATTAATGAAAGGGTAGTAGGTATCTTAATTAAACTGAATAAAAGATACAAGATGAAGGTGGTACACGCTTATGCGCCTACATCCAGCCATGATGACCCTTCAGTTGGAAAGCTTCTATGAAGACGTTGTATCGGCAATGAGTAAAGTAAAAACACAGTATACTATACTGATGAGAGACTTTATTGCAAAGGTAGGGAAGAAGCAGGCAGGAGACCAGGCAATAGGAGTTTATAGCATCGGTACTAGAAACGCCAGAGGAGAGCTACTAGTAGAATTCGCTGAACGCAATAATTTACGGATTTTGAATACCTTCTACCGAAAACGCGGAAACTACAAGTGGACACGGAGGAGCCCTAATGATGAAAATAAGAACGATATAGACCTTATAATAGTGCACACCCAGGCATCGTGCAGGATGTGGAAGTGGTTGGCAAGGTACGAAGCAGTGACCATAGAATGGTACGGTCTCCAATTCACCTAGACTTGAGGAAGGAACGACAGAAACTGATACGCAAGAAGCCAATCAGTGAGCTAGCACTGAGAGGAAAGTACAGGAATTCAGAGTCTCGCTTCAGAACAGGTACTCGGCTCTTAGTGAGGAAACCAACCTTAGCGTAGATACAATGAATGATAATCTGACGAGTATCATTACGGAGTGTGCAGTGGAAGTTGAAGGCAAGGTAGTTAGACATGACACTGGCAAGCTTTCCCAGGAAACAGAGAATCTCATTAGGAAGCGTCAAATCATGAAAGTCTCAGGTACAACAGACAAAATAGAACTGGCAGAGCTATCGAAGTTAATTAATAGGCGTAAGGTATCCGATGTAAGAAAGTATAACATGGAGAGAATTGAACACGCTCTGAAAACGGAGGAAGCGTCAAAGCAGTGAAGAGGAAACTTGGGATAGGCAAAAATCGGATATATGCTACCAAGGGGCAAAGAAGGCAAAATAACTACCAATATGGATAGGATAGTTAAAATAGCGGAGGAGTTTTACAGAGATCTGTACAGTAGCCAGGACAACTACGACTTTAATACTATAAGAACTAGCAGTAACCCAGATAACACCCCACCAGTAATAACAGAAAAAGTCAGAAAAGCTTTGGACAGCATGCAAAGAGGCAAAGCTGCTGGTGAGGATCAGGTAACATCAGATCTGCTGAAAGATGGAGGACAGATTGTGTTAGAAAAACTAGCCACCCTGTATACGAGGTGTCTCCTGACGGGAAGAGTACCAGAGTCTTGCAAAAACGCTAACATCATCTTAATACATAAGAAAGGATGTGACAAGGACTTGAAGAATTACAGGCCGATCAGCTTGCTCTCTGTAGTATAGAAGCTATTTACAAAAGTAATTGCTAACAGAGTAAAGAAAACATTAGAATTCACTCAACCAAAGGAACAAGCAGGATTTCGAACAGGCTACTCAACAATCGACCACATTCATACTATCAATCAGGTAGTACAGAAATGTTCATAATATAACCAACCACTATACATAGCCTTCATAGATTACGAGAAGGCGTTTGATTGAGTAGAAATATCAGCCGTCATGCAGACACTGCGAAATCAGGACGTCGATGAAGTATATATAAACATTCTGGAAGAAATCTACAAGGAATCAACTGCTACCATAGTGCTTCAGAAGGAAAGCAACAGAATACCAATCAAGAAGGCTTTAAGGCAGGAGGACACAATCTCCCCAATGTTATTTTCCGCGTGCTTACAGGAGGTTTTTAGAAGCCTAGAATGGGAACAGTTAGGGATAAGAGTGGAGAGTACCTTAGTAATCTGCGCTTCGCCGATGACATTGCATTGCAGAGTAACTCAGGGGACGAATTGCAACTCATGATTACGGAGTTAGACAAGGAGAGCAGAAAGGTGGGTCTTAGATATGAATCTGCAGAAAAGAAAGTAATGTACAAAAACCTCGGAAAAGAGCAGCGCTTCGAAGATAGGCAATAGTGCACTTCAAGTTGTAAAAGACTATGTCTACTTAGGGCAGGTAATAACCGCGGAGCCGAACCACGAGATTGAAGTAACTAGAAGAATAAGAAGGAGCTGGAGGACATTTGGCAAGCACTCTCATATTATCACAGGTAGATTGCCACTATCCCTCAAGAGGAAGATATATAACAGCTGTATCTTGCCGGTACTTAGCTACGAAGCAGAAACCTGGAGACTTACAAAGAAGGTTCAGCTTAAATTGAGGACGACGCAACGATCAATGGAAAAAATTGTAGGTGTAACCTTATGAGACAAGAAGAGAGCGGAGTGGATTAGGGAACAAACAGGGGTCAAGGATATCATGGCTGAAATCAAGAAGAAGAAATGTACATGGGCCGGGCATGTAGTGCGTAGACAGGATAACCGCTGGACATTGAGGGTAACTAACTGGATTCCCAGAGAAGGCAAGCGGGTTAGGGGGAGACAGAAGGTTAGGTGGGCAGATGAGATTGAGAAGTTTGCGGGTATAAATTGGCAGCAGCAAGCACAGGAGCGGGTTAACTGGTGGAACATGGGAGAGGCCTTTGTCCTGCAGTGAACATAGTCAGGCTGACGATGATGATGATGTTGATGAAACTTCTGTAAACTGCTAACTACGGGCTGTGAATGCCCGTATTTCTCACGAGTGGTAAATGAAGCTCCTAGTGTACTAAACAGTCAGGCTTACCAAACTAACACGCGTCAGCTGTGTATAAAACATACGCAAATAAATGTTCTTACTAAGTTCGCATCAGAACTACTCTTGTATCCCACTCCACGTGGTATAGCGGTGCTGAGCTCCAAAGAATATATAAGTTGCCTTCGGCGATACAGTTTCCGTAAATTGTTTGGAAAGAAGTGAATTATCTGCCAAATTGGTTGCCTATGTGTAGGTAAAAAATCACAAAGCTTTATATTTCTGAACTCATATAAGCATACTTACTTTTCCATTTGGGCATAGTCGACTTTTCCACTAACATTGTCAGCAATAAAGCGGTGGAGTAAAAAGCGAAAAATTGAAGTTGAGTGCTCATAACTGGGTACAAAGGGTCCGCTGAGCGCGGCCAATTAAAAAGCTGTTTGCGACACTCACTAAATTAAGTTAGCAAGCAGCAGCTAGGATGCGTCACTGAGGCAAATTTTGCCCTGTACAGTAGCTAGCTAGAGCGCACTAGATCAGGCCTAACTTTCTGCCTTCCAATAAGTTACCTCTCTCTCTCTAAGTGATACGTAACCATTAGCATTCTTGTTACCGATATGAATCGGTGATGACGTAAACGTTGATAGTGTGCGATCCCTAACTAGTGCTTTAAATGTTATTTGCCCTTTATTGAATAGTGGCTCAAAGCTGCACGTATGTTCTGATTCTCGTGGGTTCTACGCATATGTTCTCATCAATCACATATTTGAAGAATATATTGTCTTGAAAATAGAAATGCTTTGACAGTTACCTTATGCCCCGTTAAATACCGCTGGAAAGGTTTTGGGATTGCGGTAAATTTTATGCTGAGGCCATGTTAACCCACGTATCTCAAAGCACGCTCATGAACGGAAGTGATCAGAAGTTTAAGTGTTATTGCATCGTGAATTATCAGTAAAATAATTTAAAAATAAAACACAAAATTAACATATTCATTGTTCATTTTGTCAATATTTTGTAAGCAAACAGTCAGGGGACTTTTTGCATTACTATACGATGTTTTTTTTAAGAAAAGCAGCCGTTGCATACAAAGAAACAAAATGAACTAAATAAACTATATGAGCATCAATAAATGTTTCAGACAGACTGGGCGTAGTATGATTCGTAAGACATACTTACTGAAGGCACTTCGTCATTCTTGGATGTGATATTTGTTCTTCATTGAATTACTGACGCAGTTGGCGTTCTTGAAAAATAGGACATTGAAGGACGACGCAAATGACAACTTGAGGATTGGAGAAGAGAAGTAGGGGGCGAAAGTAGAGGGCGAAAACAATTAACGTTGGCTGCCACTGGGGAAACGAAAACCCCCACCTTCAAAAAAAAATTATTGATAGCATGCTAGAAACGTGAAAAAGTTTTAACATCGAAGCACTTGTGAAATTATCATTTATTCTTTAGTAGGTAGGCAGCCTTGACGGGATGAAACGTGGTTGCTGTCTGTCAATTGTGGATTGTTCTGATTTGTTCTACGGCTCAAATCAGAAGGCTTGAAGCTCAAGCATACTAATAGGTTTTATACAAGAAATACCGTACGCTAAGGCGAGAACGCATTACACTGGTGCTCAATCAATATTCAGAATGTGATGACGTTTATTGAACCGGAGAAGTCGCAACAATGTCGCAACAAAAAATGGCCGTACGACAAGTCTCGCAAAGGCGGCCGAGGTTCTCGTGCAATCAGAGCACGGGGTTTTGCCTTCTCTTTGGAAGGCGCATACACGTTAGTGCGTATGCTCTACTACAATACCCCCCGGGTTGAAGAGTAGTCATCCTGGCGACTCAGGGAGTAGGCACAATGAGGGGGTCGTACTAAGGCTTGAGACGGTCGACGTGTACGGTCTCGCGTCCTCGACGGCACGATTGTGTTAGGGGATCGATGATGTAATTCACCGGCGAGGTTGCGTCAATGACACGGTATGGACCATGGTACCGGGCCAGAAGTTTAGAAGACAGGCCAGGAACGTGCGGGGGCACCCAAAGCCACACGAGGGAGCCAGTACGAAACGTAGGCGCTATGTGATGAGCGTCATCATGTCGGGGGTTTTGTAGACCTTGAGCCTCACTTGTCATAGACCGAGCCAACTGACGGCAGTCTTCAGCGTATCTGGTGACTTCCGAAAGCGGGGAGCACTCCGATGCATCAGGGCGGTACGGGAGTATGGTGTCGAGTGGGTGGGATGGTTCGCGGCCGTACAACAGAAAGAACGGGGGAAAACCGGTAGTCGCTTGCGTCGCGGTGTTGTAAGCGAAGGTAACAAAAGGCAAGACAGCGTCCCAGTTAGTGTGGTCGGAGGAGGTGTACATCCTCAGCATGTCGCCAAGTGTGCGGTTGATTCGTTCAGTGAGACCATTCGTCTGTGGATGGTATGTGGTAGATTTCCGGTGGATGATGTTGCATTCTGCGAGAATAGCTTGGATGACCTCCGACAGGAACACTCGACCCCAATCACTGAGTGATTCCCGTGGAGCCCCATGGCGGAGAATGAAGCTGCGCAGAATGAAGAGTGCAACTTCGTGGGCGGTCGCTGCCGGTAGAGCTGCAGTCTCAGCGTAGCGTGTTAGATGATCGACGCCGACAATAATCGATCGCTTTCCAGAGTGACTATATGGGAGGGGGCCATAGAGATCGATACCCACGCGGTCAAATGGGCGAGCCGGGCATGGGAGCGGCTGTAACATGCCAGTAAGGTGCCGCAGAGGTGTCTTGTTTTGTTGGCAAGTGGTGCAAGACTGAACGTATTTCTGCACAAAGCGATACATTGCTCGCCAGTAATATTGTTGGCGCAGCCTTTCCGTTGTTCCAAAACTGCACCAAGACCGATGCCACTTGCATCGGTGTGAATTTCTGTGGCAGCAGCGGGGTCGTAGTGACGAAGAATGCGTGGTGAGGTCAGCAGACGGCGCAGCTGGCGAAATGCGTCGTCACATGCAGGTGACCATGCAGATATACCTTTGGTGTTGGAAAGCAGACTTGTGAGAGGTGCGATGATGGACGCGAAGTTGAGCACGAAGCGACGAAAGTAGGAGCAGAGACCGACGAATTTTCTTAGGGCTTTCAGTGATGTGGGCAACGGGAAGTCAGCGACAGCCCGAAGCTTTTCGGGATCCGGAAGAACACCGTCTCTTGTGATGACATGTCCCAAGATGGTTTGTTTTCGTGCTGCGAAATGGCACTTCTTGGAGTTAAGTTGTAGGCCCGCAGAAGTTAGACACGTCAGAATCTCGTGGAGGCGGACAAGATATGTCGGGAAATCAGACGAAAAGACTACGATGTCGTTTAGGTAACACAAGCAAGTTTTGCACTTATGGGCACGCAAAATCGTATCGATCATGCGCTCAAATGTGGCAGGTGCGTTGCAGAGCCCAAATGGCATCACTTTGAACTCATATAGGCCATCTGGCGTTACAAAGGCTGTTTTAGGGCGATCACATTCAGCCATTGGCACCTGCCAATACCCAGAACGCAGATCCAAGGATGTAAAGTACTCGGCGCCTTGTAAACAGTCAAGAGCATCGTCTATTCGTGGTAGCGGGTAGACATCTTTCTTCGTAATCTTGTTTAAGCGGCGATAGTCCACGCAAAATCGAATGGTGTCATCTTTTTTCTTTACAACCACCACAGGGGATGACCAAGCGCTTTGAGAAGGCTGTATCACTCCACGTTTAAGCATGTCGTCTACTTGCTCCGTAATGACGTGGTGCTCTTCGGCGGAAACGCGGTAAGGACGCTGTCGCAGAGGCGAATGTGAGCCGGTGTCAATAATATGAGTGATAGTCGTGGTGCGGCCCAAAGCAGGTTCTTGAAAGTCGAAAGAAGAGCGAAACTTGTTAAGGAGAGCACCAAGTTGACGGCGATGCGAGAGGGGAAGGTCTGCATCAATAGCATTGTCGAAGGCTGACAAACTTGATGGCTCAGACGCATGAGTTATTGCGGCAATGTGACATGGCGTTTCGTCGGGAACAATAATATCACCGATATGGTTGACAGGTTGCACATATCCCAACGTTTCACCACGAAGTAAGCCAATGGGGTAGTTGCAGTGGTTGGTAACCAGCATTACGGTTAACCCAGACGCAATGGTAAGAACGGCAAATGGGAGAACGATGCCCTTGCGTTCAGTAAAAACAGGAAATGGCGTAAACACCGCCGTGGCGTCAGGTTGCGCCACACATGAAAGGCTTATAGGGACCGAAGCTTCCGAGGGCAAGGTGATGTCGTCGTCAGCGATGAGTTTGCAGAGCCGAGGCGACCGGTCGGGTGGTGGAAATTCATATGTTGGCACAAGGGACACTTCGGCACGGGAACAATCGATGATAGCTTCATGACGTGATAAGAAATCCTAACCGAGGATAAGGTCATGAGAGCAAGATGGCAGAACAAAAAACTGTACGACGTACAAAACGTCTTGGATGACGACGCCCGCCGTACACAGAGCCGAGGGATGAATGCGTTGCGCGCTAGCCGTAGACAGCACCATGCCACAGAGAGATGTGGTCACTTTCTTCAGTTTCCGACAAAATTTGGCGTCCATCACAGAAACGGCGGCCCCGGTATGAATTAACGCTAATGTGGCGACTCCGTCAACATCGACATCAACAACATTTTGTGGCGAAAACGGAGGCCTTGGGAACTGCGCACAAGTTGCAGTTCTTGCCTCCGGAACTGCACTGATTAGTTTCCCTCCTCAGGAGGTGGTCGACGACGCATAGGCGATGGCGATCGGTGACGAGGGGATGGAAAACGAGCAGTCGATGGGCGGCGATCCGAGTCTGAGTGCCTCTGTTCATATGCAGATGCGGTGGCCTGCTGCAGCGCGTAGGTAGGAGTTCCGAAGTATGCGTTTGCAGGTGTGGAGCGACGGCGGCAGAAGCGTGCAATGTGGCCAGCGATGCCACAGGCGAAGCAGATAGGACGGTTGTCATGGGTGCGCCACTCATTAGATCGACGGAAAAAGCGAGGTGAGGGCCTGTAAACTGGAGGCGAGGCCGGAGGAGGTGGAGCTGATAAGGCGACTGGATGCGGTGGGGGCCGCGCGACCACAGCTGCGTAGCTGAGAGGTGAAGGTGGTGCAGGTGGTGCGTAGCCGACAGCTGAGAGATTAGGTGCTGCTGAAGTGCATGCGTAAGGGGCCTGCACTGTCGGGAGGACATCACAAATTTGAGTGAGTATGGCCTGCTGCAGTGTCGAAGGCAGGCTTGCGGTGGGCGCGTCGCTATGCGGCAGCAGGGAGAGCTGTCGGGCGACTTCCTCCCTGATGAAGTCTTTGATCTGGTGACAGAC